GTTGTATGGAAAACAGGTATTTGATAGAATTCCTTATGATGTATGTATAACTCCCTCTTCTCATTGGTTCAAGAGCACAAGTACTTAGAAACACTGTTCCGCCAATTCTCTGTCACTGCTATTTTGCCTTTGGGTGCTGAGATGGAAATTAAGGTTGATGGCATCTACCCTCCTATCTGCATCCTAACACAGGATACAGCAACCACATATGTGTTCTGTGTGCTCCTCTTGCTGGACATCCAAAGCAACCACAGTTTCACAACAAAGTGAGACAGACCAGCATTACCTAATATAAACAGTTCTAAGCAGTGAATTCAAAATGAAGATGCTATCAAGAACAAAACTGTACGAAGCTCAACGATTGTGTAATTACTAGTTTAACTTCCTCAGCAGCTTCCTACCTAATGGAGGATTCAAACAACATTTTTGTAGGAGTTATGCACTTGTTTCAATATGAAAGTCTTTAGAAAAAAAAAGACATCTATTATCTCTACCCTACATTTGGAAAGAAAAACAAGACCTTAGTGAATTTTTTGTTCCAAGCCATCTAGAAGGGACAACTCAACTGCGAATTGTTATCAAGTCTCTTCAGTACCTGATCAGCAATGTACTTACTGCAAATATAAATTATATTGGTAAGCAGAGCTGCCTGCATTCCAATAAGAACATTTTGAGGAAAAATACTGTTCTGGAATCTGAAAATTTAAACATGATTCAGGATTCATTGTCCTCAAACAAGCATCAGGTCACCTGTGTGCAAACTTTTGTTTCCTGGGGTTCTACTGCTGGGTTCAGAAATTGTTTAAAGACAGTACAGCTGATGGTCTTAAGGGAGCAAGCTAGATGGAACCTTAGTGGAAGTTCCCCTAAACAACTCTGCTAAGAAGCCTCAGCAAAGCCTTCCCACCCTTCACTTGGGAGCTGATTTAAAGGTAAAGTCCTCACCCTGGATACATTTTAGTTACCTTGTATAGCTATCTCTGCATCCACCGATGTGGGCCTCCATGCTGCCCTGTGGAATGTTATTCTAACTTAATCTCACCTCTGCCATGTCACTGCAGACTTGTCAAGCAATCTAAACTCTCAGCTGGATTTGGTTAATAGCATCTGTGCTGCCCACTTCCCTTGGGGACTGTGGGATTGTGCTCTTGCCTATGCAGACACTGCCTCTGTCTGCTTTGCCATCAGTGCTTTGCTCCCAGCTCCACTTGTCCTTCAGGGAAAGACTTCACTGCTTCCTAACAAGGGAAAACGAGCACACAACCAACATGCGTGTTGGTTGCAGAGCTATCGCACCAAGGGGACAAGTGCCAGAGCAGACTTTAGAGCCATGAGTTCAGAAGGGGCAAGAAGCTCATCCTCTGAATTTCCCCCACAGACTTAGCTACAAAGTTTTTCTGTTAGTTCACTCTGTTTCAAAGATGTTTGGGAGAAAGAGGTGCTTATCAGTTTTCCTACATTTTTAAATTAGAAACTTACTTTTAATATTGTATTCAAATCAGCAATAACTGCTCAAGAATCCAAAGAGTGGAAATGGTGATATAGTGGAACAGCAAATTCATTCATACTTCAGCATCTATAGCATAGTCAACATGATTTGTGCAAGTTTCAGCCTGACATATTTTCCACTGAAATTACTGGAAGTCATTGAGCTTAGAACCAGGTATTTTTAAATGGTGTAAAACATGCTCTGGAGGTATGACATCTGTTATTTCATTAGATTAAACTGAATGGCAATAAAAATAAATTTCAGACCTGTGAACTAAGAGGATTTCCTCCTCGCTTCCTTCTCTAGCAGGCACAGGGATGCATCTTTCCACAAGATGGTAACATTGAAGCTGCTCATAGGAGGCCGACAGTCTTTCTGGCACTTCAATATCACAAATAGGACTGAAAATAAGTGATATTCATATTACTGCAACACACACCAGCACAGCTTTCAAGTAATAATAATGCCTACTATGCACTATAAGTAAAGATTCAATATCCTCAGAGGGACTTGTGAGAGTAAAATAATTATAATAAAATTCTTTGAATACTTTTCAGTTTAGAATTGAGCCAAATGATTACAAAATCTGTAAGCAAAAATAAATTTATGTCTCTTGCACAGAAATAAACAAAACAACACTAAATTTTGCTTCTTCTCCCACCACTTAAAGCAGCAATGATTACCACAGACATGGAGACATTGAGATTAAAAGTGAAGATCTTACAGGGAAGATCAGCAGAGAAGAGGATTTGACAGGACTTCAAGCACAACAAAGGTACTGGTCTAATTTACATAAACGTGAGCCAGCTGTTTATATCAGTTTCTAATTGAACTTAATTGAAGGGTTTCAGATGAGAAAGTAAATCCATATATTTTTCCAAGGTCAGTGAGACTTCAGCTTTATGAGCAATTCAGTTAGCTTAAACTGCAGTGTTTAGAGAACTAATCCCCTTACTAAGGCCTACTGGACTGCAGAGCTTCAGCTTCTCAGATCCAGCTTCAGATTAGCAGTAGAGTATCTAGATACTAATTAGCAGTAAAAGTTTTACAAGAAGGCAGACTTTCTGTTCAGCAGGAAAGTTACCAGGTTGTCTGTCTCTACACACTGCACTTCACATTTACAAAAAATACATGCACTGGGTACTTTCTTGATAAGAATCAATTCATAAAAAGGACAGGACGTTACTGACTTACTCGTTCCAAAGCAGCTTATGCCTGGTCATCGCCTCATCGTAAATCAGGGCTGTTCCTGAAGCCATCGCTACAGACATGAGAGGTCCCTAGGCGCGTTATCTCGGGTACAGAACAGATGTACGATGAACTGCCAGTGGGAATGTATGCGTGCAGGGCAAAGGCCTGCAGGAGGATCTCGCACTTCTGACTTCTAAGTACAAAGCGCAAACAAAGCCTCGAGGGGCTGGTCTGTGAGGACACAGGGCAGAACGGCCGGCACGGCCCTGGAAGCTGGATCCGCGCGGGCTGGATTCCCGGTTACCAACAGAAGGACGTGCGGTGCATTGGAGGGGGTACAGAAGCTCCCTCAGTCTGCGGATAAGGGCCTGAGGCCAAGCCGGGGCGAGACCTGGGCCGGCAGGTGCGTAGGGGTTACTCACCTCAGGCTGAGACAGGTGCGCGGGAGAGCTCGTGCTCTGCAGCCCCGCACGGCACCCGCACACCGCGGTCCCCACGCGGGCCGCCCAAGCAGCGCCTCGGCCTCACCGCCAGCTGAAGGCACGGCGCCGCCCGCTCGCAGCACGGGGCGGGATGGCGGGAGCGGGCGGGGCTGCGACGCGTCCAACGGAACGCCCACAGCCCCGCCCTCAGGTGGCTGCTGCTGCTGCGCGGGCGTTTGGCTTCCGAGGGGTTGGTAGTTAAGGGGTGAAACGTTCCCAGCCCAAATTCCCGAGTTGAATTTTCTTTGGCGCTCACCGTAGAATGATAGAATGGCTTAGAGGGGGAGGAATCTTACAGATCATCCCGTTCCAGGCCCCCAGCCGCGGGCAGGGCTGCCAACTGGACCAAGCTCCTCTGCACACCTCGGTGATGTATAGCAGAGGGTCTTAAATCACACATATGTGCATATGAAGACAAAATTGCTCCATCCAATTCCACTTTACTTTGTCAGAGCTCTGCAAAGTGGGGCTGGCAGCTGGAGCTGCGTTATGCCCAGGATAGTTCAAATATAGCCACTGTTTTAAATATACAGCAGATCCAAGAGCAAGTAAGCAAAGGGCTGTAAGGTAACCCCTCATGTAAAGAGAAATAAATGGAAATCGACACAAGCTAAGATGACCTCCTTTACCTCATAGTCAATCGAGCAACCAGTTCTCAGCAGCTCACATCAGTAGCCATGTCCTTTCGTGCCAAGACCAGGTGGTTGATGTTGTCCTGGCACTTAAATGGGTCGCTCCCTGCAGGGCCGCCCGTGGCTGACCTGAGCCCCATCAGACGCCTTTGGGAGCAGTTGGCAACTGTGGGCACTGATGGAGTGCTTTAAATATTTACCATTTTTCCAGCAGAAACCATTGCAGATTCGGTGGGATCAAATGAACCGAGCTTTTGAGTCACCTACGTTATTCAGAACAGTGTCTTCATTATACAGTATAAACTGAATATAGGTTGTTCCAACTTTTTTTTTTTCATCATTTCCAGAAGTTTTCTAGCTCATGATAGAAAATCATATAATCACAGGTTCACAGAATAGCCCGAACTGGAATTCCGAGACCCACAAGGATCATTGAGCTCAACTCCTGGCTCCACACAGAACCACCCTAAATTCAAACCGCGTGTCCAAACTCTCCTTGTGCTCTGGCAGCTCGGGGCTGTGCCCATTGCCCTGGGCAGCCGCTTCCATGCCCACCACCCTCTGGTGCACTGACGTTTTGTATGTCGGAATATGAAATAGGACCTTTCAACAAAGAAGCCCTGATTTAAAAAGATTCCGAAACTGCAGTTACCCCATGCTCGGAGGCATTACCACCATTGATCATCTTGATCAGTGTAAAATGACAACAAATGACCAGATTTTCTTACGGTTGGGCTGTGTTACGTTTGCTGTTATTTATTCCGATTTATTCCATTTTCATTCGGACAAAAGTGACCAGCAGAGGGCCACCTTCTTTTAAAATTCTCTAAAGGAAAAGTACGAGGTGTGTTAATGAAGCATTAGCCAGAGAAAGTTTGGTAAGTCAAGAAAATGGCGGGGTGAACCCTGTAGAAGAATACACTAAAGGTACTGAGCTGGATGAAAACTGTTTCATTTCAGTTTTTATACATAATACAAAAGATTTTTGCAATAACTCAAGCCTTTATACATAGATGACCAAATTCAAATTTCACAAATGGCTAAAATACTATAGAAAGTAGGCCTGATAACACTGGATCTAAGTTCAACTTATAATACAGTTTAAAAGGAAACAAAGATTTTACATGCCACTTATACATTCTTATTTACAATGCAGGTTTGGCATAAAAAGTGTACTAAGCTTTTTATAAGTAATAAGATAAATATTTACAAGCATTTATGGTACCTCCATTTCCGAGTGGCCAAAGTCAGCTGGGAGTCCCTTCTCTGCCAGTGGTAAATCTGATTAACTAAAATGATACCCTCCTCAATCTTCCCTACAAGGAGATACACCATAGGACGATGGCTTTGAGTCATCCTCTGTGTACAATTTTCATTGATAAGCAGCCATTGCTGTATCATGTGCTGAGTTTCATAAGGCAAGAGTGAGCCCTGGGTAATGAATTCCACGTGGCACTCAATGTTGTACTCTTGGTCGCCAATTACTGCTCTTTTTTTGGACAGCTTTACTTTCACTGCTAAAGAAAAAAGGAAACATGTAAGTTGCTCAGTTTGTTCAAATATAGAAATAAATACCCGTTAAAGCAGGAAGATTCCTTAAAAATACTCTCATAATTCCTGGTGATGGAGTGTGGTGACATCTTCTCCCACAGCAGCATAGATTGTCTAACTTTTTTTAAAATAAGTTTGCAACTGATCATTTTTTTCACTGAATTGGCAACTAGGCAAACATATTTTCACAAAGATGTGTAATGTATTTTTGCCATCACTGTATACGTGATGGTGACTGGATAATTAGATCCTGTAAGCTGTTGGCGTGATTCTAATATCACGAGGCTGACCTCCTTGCCCAAACTAGTCTACTGAAACTCATTTTGTTTCTCTCAGCAGTAATGTTTGGTGATACCACCCTGTTACATTCTCCCTTTTCATCACAGACATCACAGACATCTGTCCATCCCACCAACACTTCTTAGCATGAAATTTCTCTGCAGTACCTGTTCTAAAGCCAGCTGTATTCACTGGTAGTCTCTATCGACTTCAAAGGACTTTGCAGGACATTTCTAGGGCAAACTCAGAAGTATTGCCCACCACTTCAGTAAAATAACATGAGGTCAGAATTTATTTTGTATGATTTTCTGAGTCTTTTCAGTAAGCTATGTATTGTGAACAATTAATGCACAATTAACAAGGACATGCCATTCACTGGTGAAACAACCAAAGCTTTATTGGGTTTAATTACTAATAAAAGACAAACTGGTTTATTTGCCTGATTTTGCCAGAAATATTTTCCATATACCATATTGTACTGCAATGAAGCCAGCCCAACAAGAACAGAAAAGCTGTTTGTTTGTAAAATAGATGATGAAGAAGTCTTTCATGCAAAATAAATCCTTAAATTTTGCTCAGAAAGAACATATTCTGAAAAATAACCTAAAGTTGACTCAGTATCCAAACTCTCAGGATGAAGATTTTGAAACCCCAGCAGAAGCTGTCAGCTATTTTAATCCCAATTTAAAAGCATTTTAGAAGGAGAACTGATAGTTTAATAGTCATATTAACAAGGACTTACCAAAATTACTGTCACAGAAAACTTCAAGAACTCTTTTGTGTGTAAAGAGTTCCTCCACTGCTGGGCAGGTCTGGCATGCAGGCTTTGGTAGGACTGGTAAGAAATGGCAAAGTCTCATCATTATCTTTTAGAATGTTTTGTGTTAGTTTTGTGCTGTGAAAGTCGAGAGCTTGCTGTTTAACTATGAGTAATCATAAAATATACAAAATTGTTCAGGGATAATGTATGCATCCACATGCTTCTCCAAAAACATGGCTAAGGAGGAAAAGAAGTTTCTGTTTCCACGCACATTGACTCTTTGTTTAAACTGACAAACTCAATCATCAACATCAAATACAGTGTTTATAAATAGTGTTTTATTTTCAATACAGCTGTGGAGTGGGGAACGGGTCAAGTGAGAATTCTGTCAGTGATCCTAGGTTCAGCTGGACTAATATTGAGAACATAGGAATTGGAGTGTGCCAGCAGCAACTTACTTGTACTGCTATTCTCCTAAGTAAACACACCTAAGCACATTTGAAGATTTGATCATTAATGTCATGCTAACTCCCTTAGGAAAATCAGATAATAAGTCCTCCCAACTTTTCCAAGCTGATCTGAAGACCAATTCAATTAATTGTGAGTTTATCAGATCCCTGATAAAGTTGATAAGCCTGTAAAGAGACCTCAAAATAAATAAAATACAGTGCCTGTAGCTGTGCAGGGAGATAATCACTTCCTCTGCTATGTGTAGACCAACTACTCTTCATTGAATTGAACTGATGCTGACTCACATCATCTGAGGAGTGCCACAGTTTTCACTGCAGGCATTAATACTTCCCCTTCTGCACAAACAAGTATGCATAGATGCAACTCCGATTACAAAGTCACAGACTGAGAACTGTGTCCCTTCTATCTTGTTTACCTGCAGCATACAGTACAGCCACCCTGCCATCTTCCACCTACCTTTGTGCAAATATTTATATTCCTTTGTAAGCGATGCCAGACACATGTCCTCGTCTGCAGGGAACCGACTGCAGTCCAGGCTTTCTGGCCAGGCGTGCCCATGGCAGGCGAGCACAGGAGCACAGCTGTCCCGAACACCAACACACATACTCCTACAGGGGAGGATGAACCTGCACCAGAGGGAGCACCAGGCTGAAGCTGTTCAACTCACTCAGTGATAACAAAGTAGTTCAGCAGTGATTTCTGCACAAAGTACATACTGATATTTGACAACCTTCAGCAATAATTCATTTCTAGAAATGGCTTATTCTTCTACGTTACAGAATTATGTTTTTATTAATGCTATGATGTTTTTATTTATGCTTTTCTTACTATCTGAGAAAATCCTTGTCAAGAGCCTGAGTCTCTTTGCAACGGGTATTTGGTTTCATTGTCACCTATATTCAACTTTAAATTAACACGAACAAAATTTCAACTGAAACAAACTAAAATATGATATTCTTTAGCTACACATTCATTTCCACAAAGCAAACTGAAGCTGAAGTTGAACTCAAGAGCTTTTCAGTGCTTTTTTTTCCCAATGAGTATGAAATAGTTAAGAGAATTATTTCTGATGAGGCGGAGATCACCTTTCCATTACAATTGAAGTACATTTGATTTGATCCCTGTACTGGCCAAAAGGCTGGGTGCTGTGATACTTACGTGTCCAGGCAGATGGGGGCAAACAGAGAGCACAGGAACATCCTCACATGAGGGTGACAATCCGTGTGCACCAGGTGCTGCCAGGTGGTGGATTTTAGGACGACCTCCGCCATGCTTGTGTGTCCCATCAGGTTGGGAAGCCTCATTTCGGAGTATCCAATCTCGTGGCACATGTCCATCTCCTTGGGTATCACTACACATTTGGTGGATAATCCAATGTCAAAGCCTGTGGCCACTCTTAGGAAACCACTCAGAGTGAAAACAAGTATTTTTGCAGTCAACAACATCTTCCTGTGAGCCCCAGCTTGCCAAACAGGGGGCTGTCAAACCTCCCAAGTACAGGGGCATGCTGAAAACCCTGTGCCTTATATACCCCAGGAGCTTAATGAACCCTTGGTTTTCGTCTGCTTATCAAATCACTTGAGACAGCACCAGATCTTATAGCCTATCCAAGTGATTGTTGTGATAACCAGGGAGGTGGGGATGAGATACAGAGGTATATTCTCTAAAGACAGATTAGCCATAGGCTTTCACGTGCCTGACAGCATCAGCTGCAGTAGGGTGCTATGTGGTATATTAAATTTTGACACCTAGAAGTCTTGCTATGTGCTTTCTAAATCAAATTAAGAGATCCCCCAGAAAAGTGGTTGGGCAGACAAGCTGTCTCCTAGGGCTGCTGTGTCTCCTTTGTTTTCAGACACTGCTGACTAGCCAGAAAAAACAGCCCAGATTGACTTATCAAGTGAAAACGTTTTGCTTGTGGTAATTGCTCATGTCTCTTCCATGTTTTACAGTGTAGAAGAGGCACTGTCTTTATTTGCACAAGCACCAAAAAAGAATCAGCCTTACTCTACTAACCAAATATTTTGGCTGGAAATTGGGACTCCTGTGCTGTGACATGCTAAAGCTCTCAACTTCCATCAATTTTACTGACTACAGAATGACTACAGAACTTGTATCTTTTACTTATTCAATGCAGTGATGGATTTAACCTTTCCTGGTGGAAAAATATTGTAGGACTGTTGTGGCTATCAGTATTTATTCAGAGAGAAAAGACGGTTACACGTATGGAGTTCATTATGTCAAATGAACTTAGTAACACTTAGAATTCTACAAAGAACTCATCATTTCTCATCTTTATTAATAAATTATGACTGTAGAAAACTCTGTGTAAGCAAATAATACAAAGGATTTACTTATTTCGTCTGTAGCACAAAACAAAATAAAATGAATATTAAATTTATTAAGAGTGAACAGAATTACTGACAGTATTTTGTTATTCTTCTTAATATAGGACTGACAAATAGCTCTTACCTATAGATGAGAAGCTGGGGAATCAGGTAAGGTGACAGGATCTGAGTGATGTGTTTTTCTTACCTATTGTGAACTGAGAAGTCAGCCTACTAGACAGTTAAAAGACTTGAAGCTTTAAACAAAACTTCTAATGGAAATTTTTAATATTTTTTCATTTAGATACAGGTGTGTGTGGTGTGTTTTGTTTTGTTTGTTTGTTTGTTTTTAAATTTCCATTTCTTATTTATAGAAATGTTTAGATATTAACAAGTAGGTGGATCTATTGTAAAATATCTGGCTTTATTAGACAAAAGCCTGTTTGCAATAGCATATCAGCTAGTATTACTGGTGCTTGACTGAAATACATTTTTCAGAAACAGCATCTTTTTGTGCTTATACTTAGATGTAGCACATTTGGACTATGTGCTACATATTATTTATGTGTTTATATCTACGTTTTAGAGTATTAATCTTAGCATCTTTGAAATCAGTGACAAACTCCCACTGGTTCTTCCTTAGTTGTTTTCTTAGCTAAGCTACAGGAGAAATTACAGTAACTGTTTAAATATACTGGGGGAAAAAAAGACAACATGACATCTCTGATGTGTCAGTTTGAGATCCAACAGCTACAGGGGAACCAAACTTTATATAGGAAGTCCTCACTCAGCCAGAAGATTTCTGCATCCATTCATGCTGCTGCTGTTTTGCCATGGATTCTCCTTTATTGCAGATGCTCAGCTGTTCATTGATGCTGTGCAGAAAAAAAAATCCGCCAGGTAAAATATTGCCCACATTGTTTCTGAGAAAGCAGTAAACTGATTTCTTCTTGCCACATAAGATGAACATTCAAATTACATAACAGGTGATAGAGGAGGGATATTTCTAATTGTAGTGATATATATGTAGAGGTTCCTCCAATAAAGGCTACATAAAATAAAATAAAATAAAATAAAATAAAATAAAATAAAATATTAGTTTTGCAGACTATCAAGAGAACTGCAGCATCTGCATGCATTCTGACTGGGAAGCACAAAACATTGGACCTGAGGTTTAGACAGCCTTCCATCTCAAGTCTGGCCACCAGCTAATTCTCTCTGAAACGTTTGAAGAAAGCTGTGGGGTCGGTCCATTAGCCACAGGCTGTATTTATTGTTCCTGGATATGAGAAGTGGTCACCTGCTGATGAGCTCTGATAAGAGGAATAGTTGCTGGAGACCCTTCCTACCTCTGTTTTGCCTTCTTTGACTGTTACCAGGGAGACAGACAGAGATTAACCCGGAGCCACCACTCAGACCCTAATATGAAATGGAACTGAATTTTTCTTCAAAGATACTGGGAGTCTGAGAGCAAGCACACAGACCTGGGGATTTGGGGACTTCATCTAAACATTAGTTCAATATTCAGCTGGAATTTATTTGAAGTGTAACTGCAGACACAGACAAAAGCTTACAGCTATGCACCCAGAGTCCCCGAGGACTTCAGAGAGGCAGCTGGCGCAGCAGGGGCAGCTTTGCTGGAGCAATGTGCTCAGCCTGAGGGGCAGCATTCATTTCATATATGGTATCTATAAACCAGCAGAGGAAGAACCATGGCTGGTTTTGGAAAATGCCTCTTTAATTTACCCATCACAATGGCTGTAGTGTTGCTTTAATTTTTAAATAACAGAAGTACTGTATGCCCTTCTATGCTGTAATGTGGGTAGTTGAAGGCTCAGCCTTGGCACACTGAACTCTGTCCTTGTTACTGGAAATTGGTTAACCCAGAGGAAAGTTTGTTTTAATAGTGAAAGAGAAAGCCGATGCGTGGAGTGACCCAGATTTGGTTTCTGACCTCAGGCTGCCTGTTTAACCTGTAACCCCACTGCATTTCATACGCACACACACATAGACCAGGGACAGGATTTCTGGGCAACACTACAGGGGATGCAGGAAGATGGATGCATTTGAATAGGAAGTGTTGAGATACTGCAAGAGTCAGGAAAAGGGATGTAGGTACAGGATTTACAGATTCCAGCATCACCTAAAGGCACAGATGTGCTGAATGCTGTACAAAGCCTGAGTAAATAGCATTTCCGAAGTACACCAGATAAGCAGAGACGGAAATAGGGCACAGGGAGATCAGCTGGCAATCAGGCTGTCTGAATTTAGGCTTCAAAACCACCGATCATGTATTAGATGAGCATCTTCTGCACAAAGCCAGTACTGATAACCACTTGTCTCTTCTTTTTCTGAGCTAGAAAATCAAAATTCTCAAGGCTGGGGTTTCTCAGTGCTACTGGTTCGCTGGTTTGGCTGGCACTGCCTGTTTCTCTTCTTAGTTTTTACTTTTTTTGTAGTTTTGCTTTGATTTCTTGTTATATGGAGTTTTGCATATTTCAGGCATGATCCCTGCCATGCAGAAAAGCTTCTGTCTAGATGTTGTATTTGCAGTCTTTTGGACATTTATTCTCTGTTTTCCTGTCACAGAACTGTATATCAGAGCAACGTCCCATCTGAGGTTTTGTCTGTTACAGGCAAATACAGAAAAAAAAAGCCAGTTCAAAAGGAGAGTGCACTGCATCATTTCCAAACTCTGTGACCAAGACAGTAAAAGCAGGCTCAAGAGTGTTTCCTCAGACCACAGGGGATCAGCTGTCCTGCCTAGGCGTAAACAGCAAGTATGTACCAACTATTTGTAGTCCATTGAGAAAGTAAACAGGGTCGCCTTGTCTATCCCCAACACTTTCTTTGTCTGTGGCCTGTAGTCAACTACTGATTATCACGATAAGGCAGAAAAACATTAAGTCTTGAAAATTATGTCTGGCTTCTGGCTGTTAGAAGAGATAGCTCTATCAGTTAAGCACGTAAAAGGCTGGGAGAGTGCTCAGCTGACTCCAGCAGGCCTGGAGCCGATCCCTTTTAACTCACTTGACAGCTTTTTGCATCTATCTTCTCCCTCTTCCAGCTACTTGGAGGAAAGGCTACCAGAATTTGACATTATACCATTAAATGGCTGGCCAAACCCGCTTCTCTTTGATGCCATTGGAATTAATGGGCCTGAAGCATCTGTGTAGAATTCAAATTTCAGCATACCTACTTTGCTGAAGAAGAAAAGTCGTGTAGTGTTTATAAGGTTTCACAAATAAATAAATGTGCATAAAATATGGACATAAAACGAATGGACAAATGAATGGACAAATCTTCTCTAAGCAAAGTTCCCTTTGGCATTAATAAGATCTTTTTCTTTAAAAAATGATGTCATTTTTTAAATGTCATCTCTTTCCTTGGACTGAAAAATGTATTTGAATGCACTTAATCGAATCAAGTGTTCCCACAACAATTGGTTTGGGTGAATTGAGATGAACACACAGCTTTGTCAAGAAATAATCAAATGAATTTCAAATTATGGATTCTATCTGTTGGATTCTTGGCAGCTTTTTGTTGTTGTGTTAATTTAAATTAGTCTCCAAGACATTACTCATCTTTTTAAGCGTGCAGATTTACATTTTAAATTTTTGAAAAGAAAAAGTATTTCCTGGATATATCTTCACCTTCATTGCCACATTTCCATGTCAGACTATTTTTGGAAAGAGCTTTTTTTCTAAAAGCATTTTCAAACTATTTTATTCAAATGCACACACGCATACTAAACTTTGGTTGGCTTAATTAAGATAAATGTTTGCATCCTAAACTCAAGTGTGTGCATAGCACCACTTTTCAAGAATTGTTTTGGGACTTGGGGAAAAGAATATATATTTGTAATTGTGGCAATTACAAACCACTATGACAGCTCCACAAATGAGTGTGCCCACTCACAGTCATTTAGTATGTAAATTTTACCTGACTGCTTTGCAAATACTTGATTGGAATAGTTAATTCTATTCTGCTACTTGAGCTCTGTAACAGGATGGGTAAGGGATACATGCTGAAGGACTGAGTGTTCCATGCTTATTTTCAGTCTCTTCATTTTAGATACTCTTGCAGACACCTTCTAGAACCCTTTTAATGCCCCTTCT